ATGAGGAACAATTTCTTCCCAGAGTGGGTTGTCAAGCACTGTAACAGGCTGCCCAGGGCAGTGGTGGAGTCAGCATCCCTGGAGGTGTTTAGAAGATGTGCAGATGTGGCACTTCGGGACACGGTTTTGCAGTTGATTTGGCAGCATAGGGTAAACGGTTGGACTCAATAATCTTAAAGGACTTTTCCAGCCTAAATGATTCCACGCTTCTAATCAGAGCATCTACAAGATGATGCTTTGGCCACCATACATTGTCCCTTAATTTCCACGTACACATGGCAGGCAGCATCCCTACCCCGAGGGCTGGCACTCTGCTCTCCTGTGCTCAGTGCACTCTAAGCCACAGCCACATAGGTCTGCTGCCCTGACTCTTGGCGAACCTCCCCAGCATGGCTCTGCTGTTGAAACAGCTGGCTATTGATAGCTGTGGGTTTGAAACAGCTCTGGGTCTTGAAGTGTGAGCTACACTTTGCATATGGCATTCGATGAACTTTCTGGGGTGCTGTTTTGTGGTATGGTCCCTCACTTTCAGCAGGATGAGCCTGAGGGTATTTTAGCATCATTTTTTCTATGGCCCAGCTTGACTGTGTGGTAAATTGGGGCAACTCTTTGCTTCAGGTTGCTGTGTATTGAAACCTGGCTGAATTCATCGGGGTGAGGGACAGATGTGACTGTGCTTGCTTGCAGAACTTCTTGATACCAGTTTTCTTAAACTGAAAGGAGGCCCCCAGCAGAACTGATGCTGACATAGCTAATGCTGCTTGGATGCCGCTTCAAAATTCCTGCTGCTTTATATGTTTCTGGAAATGGAGGTGTATTCTGGGGTCGGTTTGATGTCAGCTACAGCAGGTGATTTGAGCAACACTCTTCTCATGTATTTGTGTATGTGTGTGTATATAGGTATGTTTGTGTGTATCTATCTATATATGAAACTTTCTTTTCTTTGCAGATTTAGTGTGGGAGAAGGTCAGATCTAGCTGGCAGAAACCCTTAGGGAAGAAGCAAAGAAAATGGAGGAATTCAGGGAAAAGCAAAAACTGCATCGGAAGAAGGTCAGGGTGTTGATCCATCACCTTCCTTGGGGATGGATCCTGGCTCCTGGCTCGTTTCTCCCACCATGCCCCAGCACCCTGCATGCTCCCAGTGCCTGCTGCTGCTAGAAAGTCCTAAGCTCCTTCCTATATGTAGAAATTCTGCTGCGGAACCTCTGACTTCCTTCATCTCACTGCCATATCTTCTCCTTTGGGTGCCTTTTGGGGCTGGCTATCGCAGGGGTCACCTCCAGAGACACCAGCCTCAACCAGGAATTTTCTTAAAGCACATATATATATCTCTTTATATATATAGTGTTGCGTGATATTCATAGGGTTTGCTAAAATTGGCAAGTCTGTTAACCTCTTCTCACTTGAGATTCCTTTGTCTGGAATATGAGGGAAAAGTGCTGCAAGTTTGGAGGTAGCAGAAAGGAGCGGGCTTCCCAATTTTCCTCGATTCTATGGAGATCATACAGTACTATATATTGATGGATTTCATTAGTAGAGTTCCATTGCATACACAGGTGTAGGTTTAGCTAGAAGTGTAGATGTTGGGTTTTGTGAAGATGCTTTGGGTGGACATAGGTCCTTGAGGCCATCTGAGTTTGGCCTGTGCCTCTTCCTTTCCTAAGCCACATAGTCCATCACTGGGGCTTCGATGGTCAGTGACGTGTTGACTCTAGCTCTGTTGTCTTCACAGATAAGAGCTGATAATGGAGTCAATTCACAAAAAAAGGAATCTGCACTATGAGAAGACCATGGCGGTAAAGCAAGCATGCTGCTCTTGCTATATGGTTTAACACTGCTAACATACGTGCACAGGGCTGGCACAGTATTAAATATGAGGGTTTCTTCCTCTGCTGCAACTCATGCAGACACTACATCAAGAGCTGCAGCAGAGGAAGATCGTCACATTTAAGTCTGTATAGTGTGCTCTGAAAACATGAAGAGTACACTAGGGACATGGCTGGTAGCAGCCTTGCACGGTTGGATAAGAGTGATTTAGATATCAAGGACTTGAGGTGTCCCTGCCCATGGCAAGGAGGTTGGAACTTGATGATCTTAAGGTCCTTTCCAACCCTAACTATTCTATGATTCTATGATTCTATGACTCGATTGCTATGAGCTTTTCATGCCAAATGAAGAGCAGCTTGTCTTGTGAGATCAGGTTTGCTGAAGCAGCAGGGCAGAGTGCCTTCTGCGCTGTTCCCTGCTCTGCTGGCAGCCTATGTCCACCTCTTCACTTGGAGGCTGTTTTCCTCCAGAGCTACCTGCATAAATTGTCATAGCAACTCATTGCTTGCTAGCATGCAGTAAATGCAGGAGTTACCAACAGAGCATTACCATATTGGAGAAGATCCAGGAAGAATGACAGAAAGAGAATGACGAAGCTTGTGAGGTAAAAAGCACCCAAATACCATTACATGGCAGTGTGGTCCTCTGGATGTCTACTCCTCACTGCAGGGTTCCAGGATGACACAGATCTGCTTCTCTGTGTTCTCTGGCAGTGAAGCAGCAGAACATGTTGCAGCTATTCGTGTATTTGTGTTTGGCTTGCCTTCTAAATTTAAGATCCCACCACTTCAAGGTTTCCACTGTTTTTTTTGTTTTTATGTTTCCTTCCACTACCTTTTCTGGGTACTCTGTGGCTTAAGGACAGTGTGTCCTACAGCCAGGACACCACCTAGCAGACTCTGCAACTCTGAAGGACTTTAAATGACTTTACAGCAGAAGGTACTGGTGCACTGGGGATGCAAGCTGGGTGAAGCCATCTCCATGCGAACTCAGTGTGCCAGCAGCCCTTCACCATATATCTCATGTGGTAGCATGGGAACCCCTCTGAGCGGACGTATCAGTGTAAAGCAGACTGTCTCATAGCAAAATAGTCTAGTCAGGACTTCCAGCAAGTGCTAGGGAAGTCCAGAGCTGGTGGTGAGAGGACTGTGATGCTGCTCTGCTGCTGAGCTGTGTTTTGCAGCTGTCTGTGATGTGTAACCAAGGGTTGAAGGAGGTAATTCGGCTCCTCTACTCTGCTCTCGTGAGACCTCACTTGGAGTATTGCGTATAGTTCTGATGTGTCCGACATAAAAAGGACGTGGAGCTGTTGGGGCTAGTCCAGAGGAGGGCCACGAGGATGACAAGGGGGCTGGAGTACCTCCCACATGAAGACAAGCTGAGAAAGTTGCGGCTGTTCATCCTGGAGAAGGCTTTGTCCAGACCTCCTAGCAGCTTCCAGTACCTGAAAGACGCCTTCAGTTATGCTGGGGAGGGGATTCTTTGTTAGGGACTGTAGTGATAGCACAAGGGGTAATGGCTTCAAACTTAAACAGGGGAAGTTTATGTTAGATGTAAGATAGAAGTTCTTTACTGCGAAGGTGGTGAGGCCCTGCAATGGGCTGCCCAAGGAACTTGTGAATTCTTCATCCCTGGCAGCGTTCAAGGCCAGGTTGGACGCCGTCTTGGGAGGCATGGTTTACTGCGAGGCATCCCTGCCCATGGCAGGAGGGTTGGAACTAGATGATTTTAAGGTCCTTTCCAACCCTAACTATTCTATGATTCTGTAATTCTATGGACAGGAAGTGCAGAGGTTGAGGTTTTATCCCATGTGTGTTGCAAGCTTGCAAACAGCAAGTCATAGCAGGTGCATACGTACACGTGGGATGAAAGGCTGTCACTCAGGCATGAAATGGAGCTATACCAGACAGCACATTTCAAAAGACTTGGGCTTAAAGCTGCTTGGAAAAGGGATGGGCAGGAAAGAGAGAGAAGACAAACGAGTCAAGACACTTTGCTTTCATAGATCCCCAATGCTTTTTTATTACTCCATAGTTGTGGGAGAGAAGTCAGCTGGCACTGCAGGACCATGGGGTACCTAGGTCACATGCAGTGCCTTTAGGAAGCTGGCTTCGTCTCCCCAGAGGTAGTGGTGTGCTGAGTGACCCCTTCCGCATGGGTCCTGCAGACCTTCCAGAACTCAGTGCTCATCTTTGAAATACCTTGCTGTGTAAAGGGATGAGTTCTTCTCTGGACAAGGTCTTTTCCAACCTACTTGGTTCTATGATTGTGTGACTCATGGTTACCATGTTTCCTGCAGAAGACCAGCATCACCTGCTCCTTGCTGTGGACAGAGATTTTTGTAGTGGGATGAGAAGAGAAGAGAGGAGATTTGCTCTCTTCTTACAGATGTTAGGGCCGTTTTGTCTGTGTCATTTGAGTTCTTCGAGATGCAGGAGTGTGAGCGGATCAACTATTTCCACAATGCCCTCTGGCTTCATGTCAGCCCACCAAGACGTGCCTTGGTATCAGGTCTCCGTAAAGCCCAGGCTGGCCTAACCTCTTGCATTCCCACCAGCTCCTGGAGGACAGTTGGGGAGCACAAAGGAAGGGCACTGGGAGTCCCAGAGCCACGCAGATCCTCAGCTCTGTATTTTCTAATGTGCAGGAGGGCACCTATACCCATCCTGAGCAGTGCACCAGAATTACTTGCTTTATGGGGTTTCTGGCTCCACGGAAGAAACCCGCTTTTGCTCTTCCCCATCAGATTACGAGCTTTCTCTGTCTAAAGGGAATGCTTTAGGTGAAGTCCGGTCCCACCTGAAAGATCCTGGGAAGCTGGACTCTGACTTTGGAGACAAGGTTTCACTAAGGAGAAATTCTGATCAAAGCCCTCTATGTATGTATTTGTGGAGCTTAAGGATGTCCACGCTCGGGATCCCACCAGTCTCTGCAGTTTGGGCCTTTCCCTCATTCAACACCATGAGCTATATAATTCCCTGTGGCACTTTAGTGATGGAACTTGGTAAAATGCCTTGGTTGCTCGGCAAATCATAGAATCAAGACATCTCTTTCAGCCTCATCCACTATTGCCTTCCATCCCTTTAACACAGGTGGCCAGTGTTTCTGTCCTGTGTAGAGTCTTGTCTTGAGCACTTCTCATAAGCAGATCTAATTTTTTTTTGTGCTCCCTGTTTCAGGTGAGCCTGATTATGCCACAGTTGACGGCTACATCCCTAGATGCTGTTGATCCTGTTTGTAGGTTCTCCAGGCAGAAGACACTGTTGGTCTGGCCAGTGTGGTGGTGTTTCCAGTTACTCCCATCTGTGAGAGAAACAGTGTTGTTTTCGCATAACTGGGGATGGGGCTTTACAATAGTAAGACTTTCTAATCTTAGAGCTTTAGGATCAATAGTAAGGCTTTGCAATAAGAAGAGTTTTCAATACTAGGTCTGGCAATAAGTTCCTAAGGCAATGAAGGAAAGGGTTTGAGATATAATTATTCAAATAGACATGCTTTGTGGTTAAAGAGGGTGTCATCTCTAGATGAAAGACACACTCTGTAGTTAAAAAGAATACTATCTGCGTACAGCCTATGAAACTAAACCGGTGCAGGCTGGTTAAACTGTAAGCTGTGGTAACTGTTTATACCCAGAGTATTATCTCCAACCATACTGGGAATCACCTTTTCCTCAGTGGACTAAAATTAAGATGTTTAAAGGTCACTTAGAATCTGAATGTGGGGTGTTAAGAGTGTGGTCCCATGCACTTGCTATTGGAAGTGCTGAAGGAACAATAAGCCAAGTTCATGGCCTGAGGGCACATGTGACAGGAGGGGATTCAATTGCTAGATTTACAATAGTGGCTTGGGAGCCAAGGAGGAACGAATGTGGCCAGCCTGTGGACAATACCATTCCTCCATCGGTGGGGACATGAACTCCACTAAATAATCCTAAGATAGTAAAAGTAATTGCAATTAAAGATTTGTAGTAGATATTTGAAATAGAAACAAGATATAGAAATAGAAACGCCTGGCTACAATGGGACAAACATGCACTAAAAATACTATAGTTTTAGATATATTAGCTGAAAAAGGAAGAGTATGCATAATGCTAAGGAATACGTGTTGCACATTTAGTCCAAATAACAGAACACCAGATGGAGCCATAACCAGGGCTTTTCAAGCCTGAAAATGCCCTGAAAATGTGAGAACAGTTATTTCATTAACAGGATGGTTAGAATCCTGATTTAGAAAATGGAAAGCAATGGTTGTATCAGTTTTTACTTCTGTAATTGTAGTAGCAGGTATATGAATAGCAATAAGGTGATACATAATTCCGTATATAGGAAGAATTTTTCTTGAAACAACTTTGTCAAAACAAATGCTCATGTGACCACTTCCCTACTCTGATGAAATGCTTTAGATTAAAAAAACAAAAACAAAACCCCAAAATTTTAAGATGATCAGGACGACTTATCTTTAGACCAAAACTGTGAAGTTACGTTATCCAGACTGAAAGCGACATATGGGGTAAGTATTCAGAGAAAGTGCAAAAACCAAACCCAGTATAAATAAGAGAAAGGGGGAATTGTGAGAGAAACGGCATTGTTTTTGCATAAGTGGAGATAGGGATTTGCAATATTAAGGCTTTCCAATATTAGAGCTTCAAGATCAATATTAAGGCTTTGCAATATTAAGAGTTTTCAATACTGGGGCTGGGACTAAGTTACTAAGGGAACAAAAGAAAGGGTTTGAGATCTAGTAACTCAGAAAAGACACACTCAGAGGTTAAAGCCAATGTCATCTCTAGATGAAAGATACACTCCTTGGTTAACAAAATACCGTCTATGTACAAACAAAGCTGGTGCAGGCTGGTTAAACAGTAAGTTGGGGTACCACATGTCTGCCAAAGAGTTGCAAAATTGAACCAGAAAAAGATTATGTGGTTAGTAATGATGTGGATAATAAATAAGAGGAGGGGGCATACGACGTCGAATATGGGGAGGTATAAACAGAGGCAGTACAGTTAGCACGGTTATAAGCACTGAATGGGCTGTAAACCTTGGTGTACCCAACGAATTGGGAAACAAGGGAGGGAACTTGTAGATGGGATAGGAAATACAAATCATAGTTCTGCTTTTGCTGTGTGTGCCTGCTTGATAGGACATCCTTTTTTTTTGCAAAACCATTAATAAAGAGCTGCTTCACTGTTGTGTCTACCCTGAGCTTAAGTTTTTACCTCACAGAGCTGAAGTGCTTGTCCGTTTCAGCAAAGTATTTGAGGTCTGAGATAATTATCTGCACACTCAGAAAGTGCCTATTACAAATCTGTGCCTGTGATCAGCAAACTGCTTGGACAGATATGCCATGTTCACACTCGGGGGAAGAAAAGGAGTCTAAGCAATGGACCCAGACACAGGGGTCATCTGTGTCAGAAGAAGTTTTTGATTTCAAGTTCTTCCAATGCGCAGCCATCTGAAAGAGGCTGGAGATAACCGAGAAGTCATACATGCTGAGGGGAGTGCTGCAAAATGCTTTGGGAAACTGGCTAATGTTTAGGGCATACATATCCCACTCAGATCTCAGGTTAAGCTTTTCCCTGTTTCTCAAGTCCTTCATTAATGATGATTAAGCTTGTAATGTAGGTTTCATTTTGGCCACGTCTTTCAGGGAGCTCACTGAGAGGTGCACCAACAATACACTACGTGTCTGGCTTAGCTGTAGATGTGCTTTAGGTTTAAGTGCTGATACTGGAAGCTGATTTGCATCTTCCCTGGTGTAGCAGGCCACAGCAAAGCTACCCAGTGAGAGGCTGTGCTGCCACAAACCTGCACCCTGCAGTGTTGCTGAGGATCTGGAGAAGTTGGTTAGCTCTTCAACCACCTCTCCAATGAGGGGCTTGCACATTTTTAGGTTCATGGTACTGCTCATGCCTGGTAGGCTCTGCAGACCCTCATTTGATTAACTTCTAGTAAAGAACTCCCTTGGACTTGTTGTGACTATTCACCACTGGAAATAAACTTAGTTATTAATGTTGGGCTGGAGCCCTGAAACTCATTTCCTGACCATATCTCCCAAAGTTCTTACATTTTTGTTACCATATACATGATCACGGCTTTGATTCAGACACTCAGGTGCTGCAGAGCTGCTGGTCTCTCTCATATCCTCATGTGCAGCATTGCTTAAGAAGCTCCTCAGTGCCTTACGACACAGGGATGGAGGAGAAGGGGACCAGCACACAGTTCAGCTGTTTAAACCTGGTGCCAGGTGCCTTAACTTCGGAGAAAGGGGAGTTGCTGATGTATGATATTCTTCAAGTTGAATTTGTGCAACTTCAGTGCATGTGTAAGCCAAACAGTCCCCAGAGCTTTTGCTGTATTTCCCTGTACAGAGTAGATGGGAGTGAGCTTAAACATCTCTCCTGATGCATTACAATGGACTGTGGAAACTGCACATGCCAAGGAATCGGTTTTCCATTTTAATTTCTGAAAGACCAAGTGTCGAAATATTCTCCTGAAGGACCCTGCTGTAGTCTTAGTTCTCACACACATCTTTTATGATTAAGTTTTGAGACTTGTGTGGTGGCTATCTTTCTTCTGAAAGATGCCGTACTGACTTTTTTGTCTAGGCTAGGGCTGGTACATCTTCAAAGCACCCTAGGATGTTCAGGTTCCTTCTCCTGGGAGGAAGCCTACAAGAGCATATCCTTGCTCAGCCTTTACTTCCTACTTGCTCAATAGCACAACAGCTCTGGGACAGAACACACCAAGACTTTAGACTCCACAGTGGCCCCTACAGTCAGGCTGAGTTTCCTCACAGGCCTCTCTAGAGGGGTCTGTCCTCCTCCCAGACACCCATAGAAGTGAAAGGCCTATCAAGAGACCCTGATAACCAGCTGCACAGATCCTGCCTCCCCCCTAAGGACAGAGAGGCCACAGCTGCTTTAATAAGACAAAATAAGAAGAGGTATACAGGTAGCATGTAAATCTTATGTCCCTTCAGATGGTGGGCATCCTGCCTTCAGGCGGAGTTAGAGCTCTTCCTTTTTGGTAATACGAGCTAATATATAAAGCATCACAAGAAAGTAGCATTAGTCATGAAGGAAGTTTACATGAGAACTTCTTGCTGCATTTCCAGATACAGGCAGGGCCAGGCAGCTGGTGTAAGTGTCAGTATCAGGCAGGAGCTGCCCATGAACCCCATTACCATGAGATGGCAAAGCTCATCCTGCAGCCACAGGACTGTGCCTGCTCAGGGGATCACCAGCTCTGTAATGTGCAGTGAGCTCCTGGTCAGGATCATCTCTGCCTTGACCCACACACAATTTACCTTTCCCACAGGTATTACAAATGACAGATGATGTTGATAACAAAGGGTCTTCTAAAGGCCGAAGTACAAGGCCTAAGAGTGGACATTACCTGTTCAAGATCATTAGGTCTTTGACTACAATGTCTTCTGCGAGGAGGGACTGAGCTCTGCAGGGACTCATCCATCTGGGGACTGGCTGAAATCAGTTCTGCTCCAGTGGGGCATGGCCTGGGCTCCAGCGGTGGCTCCCTGGGGCAGCTGAGCACCTGAGTAGGGATCAAAAGGGTCAGTGATGCCTGGTCCCCCAGGCTCAGACTGGAGCCCTGCTGTGGCTGGAGATGCCTCAGGCACTGCACACAGGCTGCCCCGCTCCTGTGACAATTCTGGGTCCTGCTAATGCACAAGTAGAAAGAAGAGAACTCACACTGCCCAGCCTCAGTAGTAGGGGCTTGGTTTCTTACCTCGCATTCCCTGTAGCAGCAGCTTGACCTCCCCACAGACATCTGGCCTTGCCACAGACTCTTATGGAGGAGACTCCCTGTCCACACCCCTTCGCCCCAGGGGCTTTGTAGGAGAGCCTGGCCCCTCCACAGGTCCGTAGAAGGGAACCTGGCCTCCTCCTAGGCTCCTATAGATGATCCTTGCCTCCCTGCCACTCCTTTTAGGAGGAGCCTGGCCACTCCCTTATAGAGAAGGTTGGATTCTTCCCCGGTTCTTAGAGATGATCCTGGCCTCCCATCCGGTCCTCAGTAGGGGAACTTATCTCCCTCCCAGGCTCCTATAGAGGAACTTGGCCTCCACACAGCACTTTATGAAGGATTCTCTTCTGATCCCCATCTCAAACACTTATGGGGGGGCCCGGCCTCCCCACACAATCCTATGGTACCCCATAGGTGTCACACCTACCAGCACACCCTTACTAAGGAACCTGGCCTTCCCATATCCGAGCCTATATGTGAGCCTACCCCAAGCCCGCTCCCCTCCTGACAGGAGGCCTGCCTCACCCAGGCCTGGTGGCCATGCTCCGGCTCCCAGCTCTGCGTTCTGTGCTGAGTCCTTCCGTGCTTCACGTAGCCACCGCGCTGCTGACTGGAGGGGAGCGGGTGGGGGCGGTGTCAATCTTCCCCCGCTTCCGCCCGCAGTAGCCGTGGCTGCGGCTTGGTGGTGCTGCAGAGTATGGCCATGGCGGAGGCCGTGAGGGGGCCCCACAAGGCCCGCCCCAAGAGCAGTCCCAAGGTCCGGGGGGGAAGGCGGGGATTGGCTGCGGGTGAGGTTCCGCCGGTCCTGGTCCTAGTCTGGGCTGGCTCCGCCGCCTGTCGGCTGTGGTGGGTCCGGCAAGCTCAGAGCAGAGAGGAGGATTCTCTGGTTTTGTTATATGCCATGGTGTGTTCGTCAGCACTTTGTCTTGTGTTTGGGGCTATTCCTGAGTGGGTTTAAAGCGGCAGAGAGGGTGTCCGCTGCAGGCCGTGTTTGTGTCCGTGTTTGTTTGTCTGCTGCTGGAAGCGGTTAGATCGGGGGGTGTGTGCCTATCTAAAAACACATGTCCCATCCCTGGCACTGTTCAAGGCCAGGCTGGATGGGGGCTTAGAGCAACCTGGTCTAGTGGAAGGTGTCACTGCCTGCGTTTCAGTAGTTGTGGAATGATCGGAACTGAAATGTCTTGACTCACAGCTGGCTCAAATTGGAAATGTTTATCTAAATTGGCTATCCTCTTCCATGTTGTACACTGCCCCCCGGAGATCAATGGCAGTGAACTCCTGGCTGTCAAGTCCTTTGGGAATAAATTGGTGAATTAATTGACCACTGTTCTGGAAAACAAGGATCAGATCTAAGTCTCAGCTATGGCTGTGATTCCAGAACGAGTTTTGTTCTGTGGATGTGGTTCCATGATTTTAGTTGGTGACAGGGCATGGCTGGAACCACGCATGAAGTCAGAGCAGACTGTTCCCACACAGGGCAGGTTTTATCTTTTCTGAAACACGGCGTTCGTTAGCACTGTGCTCATTTCCTCTTAGGCCAGCACGACTGATACTGGATGCAGCAATGAGGATGGTAGTCATGCAAAGAAAGTTTTTTTGCATGCTCAGTGACAAATGTATCTTGCAAACTACTGTTTGAAGACAGAATCCTGAAACCCTGCGTACGCAGCTCTGCTTCTACCTGAATCTCTTAAGATTAATAATCCTCGCTGTGACACACTCTTCTGCGGTAGTGTATGATCTCTGTTTCCCAAGTCCATGTACATGATTTGGGTGGTGGTGGGGTAGATGTGCAAATACATGTTCCTGTAGTATCAAGCCTGTAACTGTGGGATCTGCCAGAGGTTCCTCTGCCCTGTGATGCATGTTTAACACTTGAATTTCCCAGACTTTTCTAGGCCCTGGCCAGGATTTAGGGGCAGTACTGCAATGATTCTATCACCTGAAAGGAGGTTGTGAGGTGGGGGTCTGTCTCCTTTCCCATGTAACACGGGATAGGACAAGAGGATACGACCTCAAGCTGCACCAGGTGAAGTTCAGACAGAATATGAGGAACAATTTCTTCCCAGAGTGGGTTGTCAAGCACTGTAACAGGCTGCCCAGGGCAGTGGTGGAGTCAGCATCCCTGGAGGTGTTTAGAAGATGTGCAGATGTGGCACTTCGGGACACATTTTGCAGTTGATTTGGCAGTGTAGGGTAAACGGTTGGACTCAATAATCTTAAAGGTGTTTTCCAGCCTAAATGATTCCACGCTTCTAATCAGAGCATCTACAAGATGATGCTTTGGCCACCATACATTGTCCCTTCATTTCCATGTACACATGGCAGGCAGCATCCCTACCCCGAGGGCTGGCACTCTGCTCTCCTGTGCTCAGTGCACTCTAAGCCACAGCCACATAGGTCTGCTGCCCTGACTCTTGGCGAACCTCCCCAGCATGGCTCTGCTGTTGAAACAGCTGGCTATTGATAGGTGTGGGTTTGAAACAGCTCTGGGTCTTGAAGTGTGAACTACACTTTGCATATGGCACTCGATGAACTTTCTGGGGTGCTGTTTTGTGGTATGGTCCCTCACTTTCAGCAGGATGAGCCTGAGGGTATTTTAGCATCATTTTTTCTGTGGCCCAGCTTGACTGTGTGGTAAATTGGGGCAACTCTTTGCTTCAGGTTGCCGTGTATTGAAACCTGTCTGAATTCATCGGGGTGAGGGACAGATGTGACTGTGCTTGCTTGCAGAACTTCTTGATACCAGTTTTCTTAAACTGAAAGGAGGCCCCCAGCAGAACTGATGCTGACATAGCTAATGCTGCTTGGATGCCGCTTCAAAATTCCTGCTGCTTTTACATGTTGCTGGAAAGGGAGGTGTACTATGGGGTAGGTTTGATGTCAGCTACAGCAGGTGATTTGAGCAACAGTCTTTTCATGTATGTGTGTATGTGTGTATATATAGGTATGTTTGTGTGTATCTATCTATATATGAAACTTTCTTTTCTTTGCAGAGTTAGTGTGGGAGAAGGTCAGATCTAGCTGGCAGAAACCCTTAGGGAAGAAGCAAAGAAAATGGAGGAATTCAGGGAAAAGCAAAAACTGCATCGGAAGAAGGTCAGGGTGTTGATCCATCACCTTCCTTGGGGATGGATCCTGGCTCCTGGCTCGTTTCTCCCACCATGCCCCAGCACCCTGCATGCTCCCAGTGCCTGCCGCTGCTAGGAAGTCCTAATCTCCTTCCTATATATAGAAATTCTGCTGCGGAACCTCTGACTTCCTTCATCTCACTGCCACATCTTCTCCTTTGGGTGCCTTTTGGGGCTGGCTATCGCAGGGGTCACCTCCAGAGACACCAGCCTCAACCAGGAATTTTCTTAAAGCACATATATATATCTCTTTATATATATAGTGTTGCGTGATATTCATAGGGTTTGCTAAAATCGGCAAGTCTGTTAACCTCTTCTCGCTTTAGATTCCTTTGTCTGGAATATGAGGGAAAAGTGCTGCAGGTTTGGAGGTAGCAGAAAGGAGCGGGCTTCCCGATTTTCCTAGATTCTATGGAGATGATACAGTACTATATATTGGTGGATTTCATTGGTAGACTTCCATTGCATAGACAGGTGTAGGCGTAGCTAGAAGTGTAAATGTTGGGTTTTGTGAAGATGCTTTGGGTGGAAATATATTTCTTGAGGCCATCTGAGTTTGGCCTGTGCCTCTTCCTTTCCTAAGCCACATAGTCCATCGTGGAGCTTCGATGGTCAGTGACGTGTTGACTCTATCTCTGTTGTCTTCACACATAAGAGCTGATAATGGAGGCAATTCACAGAAAAAGGAATCTGCACTATGAGAAGACCATGGTGGTAAAGCAAATATGCTGCTCTTTCTTGCTGTATGGTTTAACACTGCTAACATACGAGCACACTGCTGGCACAGTATTAAATATGAGGGTTTCTCTCTGCTGCAGCTCATGCAGACACTACATCAAGAGATGCAGCAGAGGAAGACCGTCACATTTATGTCTGTATAGTGTGCTCTGAAAACCTGAAGAGTACACCAGGGACATGGCTGGTAGTGTTAGCGTAAGAACTGAGAGATAACCACCGGAATGGTTATATGAGGTGCTTTATTGCAGTGCTGGGAAACGAGGGGCAAGTGCCCAAATCTGGCTTCGGTCTCATCACGTCGCATTTGTAATTTATACACTAAAGTTCCATAAACAATTACATATTCAATACAGATTACATCATTGACTAATACATATGCATCAAGGATTACCACATCAGTCTATTACGACATCATCCTCTTCTGCCCTTGCGTAGCCCCCTCTGGTGGTCGTCCTGATGAAGTAAGGAGTCTTCCTCGGATGAAGTAAGAAGTCTTCCTTAGCTTGTCCTTTTTACCTTTCTGTTCTTTGGACATGTCCCAGCCATTATGTGGATGCCAGCATTCTCCTATCTCCCCTTGACTGCCTCTGGTATGCCTAGGTTCTACTTGGATAGAATTTCACAGTATACTTCTCTAATTCATCAATATACCCTTCACCGTATACGGATGTGTTAACTTTTGGTACCAAGAGTACCACTGTAACATTTGTTATAGAATAACCATGATACAAAACTGCAAATGTAACTGCAAAGTTTCAACATTTCCTAATATACAAAACCACGCCATTGATTTATAAATTTCTCAAACATAATTGTTTCTACCATTTTATATGATTATTTTATCTTAAAAACTGCACCCTTTTCTAACATTTCCCCCCTTTGAAAATACTTCTCTCAACTTAAGTAATTATTTTCATTCTCTTAGGTAGCTGTTTCCTGGTAAGTAGGAGGAGGTGTGGGGTATTTTGGATGTTTCCTAGTTACTACTCCTATAATTCGAT